AGAGAGAGAGAGAGAGAGAGAGAGAGAGAGAGAGAGAGAGAGAGAGAGAGAGAAAGCAGTTGTGGGCGTGGGATGAGGTTCTTCCCTTTATTCATCTGTATAATTTTGGATCCTGATATGGCCAGTTTTTATCGCGGCCCTTTTTTAACCTCTCTTTGTAAATCGTCTCGGATTTTTCCTTGTCGTCTTTGCTCCATATGTATGCATGGAATGAATGTGAATTCCCTTTCAATTAGTGGTCTTTTCGGATTTCCAATCTTGTTTTGAGATGCCTGCTTCGTCTTTGTCTAATATTCACTTGCGTGAGCTATACGCTCAGATCTGATTGAAAGCGCTCGTTATGGATGTTTGGGTTCAATCGCTAACTTTCGATCACCAAGAAGTTGATTGTCCCTTCCCCTCCTTCCTCCTTTTCATCACATGTAGGGCATGTAATGACCGGATCTCACCCAATGTAGCATGAGTAGGATATTTGCATGTATGCCGGACGCGATCGATACACTGAACCAACCCGTTGTTTCTCACGTGCGCGCTCGCGTACGATCGCGATCTCGATAAAGCTGAGTCGCCGCGTACGCTCTCGTCTGCGTGAGTCAGCCTTAACCCCGTAGAAGAATGCAGGGGACCGAGCTTGCTAAACGAATATGGCTGCGGGAATTCCCTCTTGGATGTCCGATCGTGAGAGCCTGAGGGACCCGGAATATCGCGAATACTAGGAAAGTGAACAACTCAGACGGCGGGGGAATTTAAGAAATCCAGAATTCCCCTGTCTCACAGAGAACGACCGATTGTGCGCAAGGGATTTTTATTGTGGCGTAACTAACGACCCCAGGGGCCCCGACTACCTGGATACTTATAACACGCAATATTTCATATCCCCCGGCTTCATCGTTATTACCACCAGTTTCCCTCCCTTTCACCTCCTCCTTCCATATCACCAGCTCACGGTGGTGCCGTGGAATTCCATAGCCCGCTATTGGCCCCGCAAACCGTGCAAACCGTGCCGGCGGCACCAGGCATATCGAGCCTTGGAAATCGCTCGACGAGCCCGAACCGAAGCTGCGTGGCACCGACAACTGGTCGAACGGCGCGACCAACCGCGAAGGCGAAACAGGAGGAGATGGTGATTTCCATTTTTCGGGTTCTTAAGCTGAGTTCGTTGGCAGGGGCAATGTTGTTGGGATTTTGTTCAAGAATGCAAGAGTGTTTAGATCTGTCGGTGCTGTGATTGCGGAAGAGTACCCTGGGATCTTTAGTCCGGGATGCACGGCACATGCCATCTGCCTTATGCTGCACAACATCTGCGGCTTTCCTGCTATGCACAAACCACGAGAGGTGGCTTACCGTCCTTCTTATAAAAATTAAAGCGTTGAGTACGACCTGCACATACCCTCTTGCGCTTTTACCCCCAAAAATTGCCACAGGAGATCTCAGTTCCGACCTGGGACTCCACCCCCACTTTCCTAAAATCCTTGGCACACCCCTTTTTCGCACTTCCAGGGCCCCATCCCACTCCGATCAGGAAGTCGCGCGGGGCGTGAGGTTTGGGCGTCACAGACTTCCTTCCTGTATGGAAGTGGCAGCCTCTGCTTGGCTGTGTGTGGCCTGGCTGGGAAGCTTCCAGTAGCTTCTGGGTCGGGCCCCAGTGCCTGCGCCCAGGCCCCAGTGCTAGAGTTGAGGGCCTGGGCCCTTTACAGTTGGGCACGGCCTGAGTTTCCAGACTTGGGTCGTTTCCTGCATTTGCACAGTACCTCGGGTATGTACGTCGACCGTGCTGCTATTGCGTAGGCCTGTAGCCACTTCGTGATGTATAGGCCCTGCATTGTGTATATGTGCCCAGGAGCAACTGCCAAGGCCTGGGCCAAACTGTACGATGCAGCTTAGGGAGGCTCACTCGTCCACTCAACCAACTGGCGGGCTGCAACAGCCTGAGTGCCCACATATGAAAAATGTCAAATTTTGGCCTCTAGTGAATATTCAGGCCAGCCTTCACTTAGGGCGGGCACTTGGTTTGCTGGAGGCCTCTGCCCAGAACATGTGCATGCTTGATAAGGGCCCTGTGAGGGCTCATTCCTCGCAGGTTTAAAGGGGGGTGCCTTAATGTGATTTTTTTTTTTTTTTTTTAAATCTTCAGTTCCGTGAGGAATTCTGATGTGACCCTCAGACAAAAGTTGTTTGTATTGCAGTTCTACACAAGTTTTTTTTTTCAGATTTTTTTGGAGTTGTTCTTTTTTTTTTTTTTTGCACTGGGGCTGCCTGGGCCCATGCCCGGGGGTCATGCCCGGCCAGTCACCCGGTCGCCAAACCGGGCGTGACGTCGGGACCCCGACGCCTGCAATATCTCCCTAGCTAAATAAAACAAACCCCATAAAACTAAAAGCTACTAGAATTTCTTCATTATAAAGTAAAATTTGTTTTGAACTTAGCACACTGAATCGTGAAATACATATGTTGGTTTCCTGCGGATTGCCCTCTATTTAGACACCCAAGAAACATAATCACTGAAAGAGACAGCTTCCACTACAATAGGCATGATCGGTATGAAACGGTTTTCACCTCTTTGCAGTAGCAGATGCAGATCCCAGGGCCCGATCCCTAGACCTCACCCTACTCGTGTACAGTACCTGTGTAAACCCTGAGAGTTGAACCTGTGACCTATGTATTCATAAACAGTGGGTAGGCTGTCCTAGGTCCGTAGGTGGTAGGGGTTCGATCTGTAGGTCTGTCAAATAGAAGTCTTAGCGAAGTCCAGAAGTCTTAGCTGTAGGCTTCTAGAAGGTCGGCAAGTGGGCAAGTGGCCAAGTGGTGAGCCAAGTGGTGGACTAAACCGCAGTGCGATTGCAGTACGACCTCGGTGGGATAGCAGCGAGTCCCCGTTCAGTCAGCGGTCAGGTCCAGTCA